GCATTTATCAAATTCATCATCTACTACAAGGAAAACTTCAAAATCTATTTCATATTCACAAAAACTAACCTTCTCTTTCGTCGGTGATTGGGTTGTTCCGTGTGGTTGTCGGCGCCAATGACTTTGGTCGTCGATTTGGTTCACTATAGGGTCGGGGTTGACTGTGAAATGCTTTGGTCGTCGGTTTGGGAGGAAATGTCAAGGGTTTTTTTGTTTGTAAATGTTATGTTTTAACTTTTTTTTTTTTGTAATTGTATTAATGGGTCAAAGACCAATGTGGAAATATGCTCCAGTCAACATGCCATTTTCCACTACTTCCTCTCAAAGTTGACAAAAATGATAAATGTTGTACATTATAAAACTTTATACCACACGTGGGACTTGCGATCGATCAAGTCTAAAAAGCCCTACCTATTCTCTTTTTATCTTACTTATCGAATAGTCCTACACTCGCCACTATTCAACCCGTCCTTTCCCTTGTAATACTTGTTATTTTAACTGGTGTAATCAACTAATAATTTTTAAGGTTTTACTCTCTCCAACCAAATAAAATACTAAAAAATAACATGTTAGATAGTTCCTTGGCTGTATGTGAGCTTGCAATGAAGATGAAGTACACTGACATAGACACAGATGGGAAAAATAAATTTTTTATGTCATAAAAATAAGAGAATTTATCGAGAAATGTATAAATTAAATTATGAAATGCAAGAAAAGAAGAGCAATTGAGGAAAGAAGTTAGGCACTTTATCTCATCTCATCCCACAGCTGTGTTGATACTTGATAGGGTCATAATTCTTTTTCTTTTTCTATTGTTTCTTTTAACATCAAATAATCGAAAATGTCTACTATATCGATCAACAATGCTACAGAATTAAGAAGCTACAAGAGCCATAGATTGAAAACTAGCCGCATAATTTACACGGTTAAACATAAACTTCTTGTCAAGTCTTAACACTCTATTTTTCACGTGATTTTTTTTTTTTTTTTTTTGACAGATGATTGAAGTCAAATCATTTTTTCTCATTTAAAAAAGGATAAATTCCACCAACCGTGTTTTTTTTTTTTTTGGAAGTTTGGTACTCGTGTTCTCAATATATTATTTGTGACACGCTTGCTCCTAGCAAACAAATTTTTTTTATTTGTACATTAAATTACCACATGACACGTGACGACGGGTTGCATAGAAGTAAAGGAATATGCTTCATAACCCTATTCATATTTATACATGAAAGTCAATGTAACCATTTGGTTTGCTCTAAAATGAAGGAAATTTTTCTGACAATTTTACCTTTCAAGTCGGGAAACGCATTTCTATCATTTGATCATTTAATGTTCACATGATAAATCTTGACATAGTCATATTCAATTGATTTCAACATATCAAATAGTTGATATACTTCTTGAAAAATAGGGCGTGTTTTGGCCGGATTAAAATCTGATTTTAATTCAAGTCAAAATCAAACAATCAATATTAACCACATATTTCATGTGTCAAACATCTTTTCAACCACACATTTCAAAATTTTCTATCACAATCCACTAAAATTGTAATTTTAATCCCCCACTAATGTATGAAGTTGATAATCCATATATATGTGTGTTTATTTTCTTTTCAACGTATAAACTTCGATATGTATATCGCCGCAATATTATCTAAATGTCATTCCAAAAAAATAGAAATTATATACATAAATACATACATACATAAGCTCCTATTTGATGCACATTCTTAAGGAAAGAATATATTTTAAATAGTAACGTGATGGAAAATATATGGTTATAACAGAAAGAAAAATTTTGGATTTACATGTAATATTATTTTATTGAAAATTGTGTGATTAAAAATGAGTATCGAAAGAATTCATTTTTTTAAGAATGTCGATCAAACATTGTCATATATATATAATAGTAGTAGGACATTACATATAGAAATATTAATTTTTATCTCATTTTATAGATGAGTTTGTGACTAAATTTTTATTTATTTGAGCAAAATTAAGAATTACAATTTGCAGGCAACCATTTTGTACACTTCCTTAGGAAGACCACCTACCAATTCAATCGGTTTGTTGTTCATGAAGTCCCCTAGTGGAACAACACTAAATGGATATTAATTAATATGTAATTTAAAATTCTTTTAATAAAATATATAAGGAATATTATTGGATATTTCCCATCTTGACCCAAAAAAAAAATAGTTGGGCCCTAATATTTATTTCCAAAAGATCTTGATTTGCTCCAATTTAATTTTTAATTTTTAATTATTATATCATTGCAAGATCACGTATATATGGCCAAGAGAAGAAAAAGTACAATAATTCTGCAATTATTATTAATTAATAAGAAGGGTTGCGTATTAAAAATCATAATTGATTTGTCAAATTAAATTATTTAAGGCTTAAACGTGACATGAAATTTCAACACACTCTCCAAATCGTTTTCATATAATAGTGTTTTGACTTATTTGTCTACAACTATAGGATGCTTTATTTGTAAAATTATTGAGCAAAGATCATTCTTAATCAAATTAATTAATTAAACCAATTTAAATTTTTTTTTAAATAGAGGATGCTGAATCGTGCAAGAATGTGTTTTTTATTTTTTTACCGACGCACAAAGAAAATATTTTGCTGCAAATGAAGAAAATATTGAGGAATTGTCCATGTACGTAAAATCATAATTAGCAAATAGAAGAAGGAAAAAGATTGAATAGAGGAATTACCAAACATTTGACGATCTCAGATGTGTCAATATCAATTATGACTCATAATTAAAAATTAACAGCTTTTAATTTTACATTGCTAGTTGAATGAATGAGCCTGGCTAGCAGTCGGAGTAGACTCCCACCCCCACAGAACGAAAAGGGAAAATTAGTGCGGGACTCCTAATTTTTTAAGATAATATGAAAATGGCTCCTCATTTTTAAGCGTTGTGAGATTGGATCCTCGCCTGCTAAAAATCGACAATGTGGAAGTAAAATTCGCTCACGAGTTTCATCGTAAAGTCAAAGGAATATTAAGTCTAAGTCTCTTACAATTTTGACATTCACATTGTTGGAAACCGTAAAGTGAAAAAATCAATCTTACGGCGTTAAATAGATTGAATTTTTGAATTAAATGATTTTGCTTCTCTTCAATGCTCGTCAACTCAATAAAGTATTTTCCTAGTAGGAGTAAAAATGATATTTTCTAAATTCTTTTAAACAATAAGAAGGCTATTTTGACCCCCAAAAAATTAACTTAAAAGGATGTTTATTTTTCATCTTGATCTTGAATAAATTTCTCCTAAAAAGCCCCAACCTTCAATATCTCATTAAAAATGACATAGAAGAGTGATGGAACATATATTCATTTTAAATCATGTTTTTTTTAATTTTACATTGCTAGTTGAATTATTTAAAATAAATTAGGAAGAGGGAGGGGGAGAGAGAGACAGAGAGAGAGAGAGAGAGAGAGAGAGTTGAGAATTGGCTTTCAGGGTTTGATTGATTGCAACGAATTCCATGGAAAAAATATCACATTCAAGGAAAACGAATTCCATTTTAACCGTTTTAAATGCAACGTAGAAATAGAAACCGAATTTCAAGATACAACCAGTACAACTTGCATTTTCTTTATTTTTATGGAAAGCGAATTCTTATCGATTTGATGGATTTTTATTTTTCAACTAACATGAAATTGAAATTCATTTCCACATTTGCCTNAACATTTGACGATCTCAGATGTGTCAATATCAATTATGACTCATAATTAAAAATTAACAGCTTTTAATTTTACATTGCTAGTTGAATGAATGAGCCTGGCTAGCAGTCGGAGTAGACTCCCACCCCCACAGAACGAAAAGGGAAAATTAGTGCGGGACTCCTAATTTTTTAAGATAATATGAAAATGGCTCCTCATTTTTAAGAGTTGTGAGATTGGATCCTCACCTGCTAAAAATCGACAATGTGGAAGTAAAATTCGCTCACGAGTTTCATCTTAAAGTCAAAGGAATATTAAGTTTAAGTCTCTTACAATTTTGACATTCGCATTGTTGGAAACTGTAAAGTGAAAAAATCAATCTTACGGCGTTAAATAGATTGAATTTTTGAATTAAATGATTTTCCTTCTCTTCAATGCTCGTCAACTCGATAAAGTATTTTCTTAGTAGGAGTAAAAATGATATTTTCAAAATTCTTTTAAACAATAAGAAGGCTATTTTGACCCCCAAAAAATTAACTTAAAAGGATGTTTATTTTTCATCTTGATCTTGAATAAATTTCTCCTAAAAAGCCCCAACCTTCAATATCTCATTAAAAATGACATAGAAGAGTGATGGAACATACATTCTTTTTAAATCATGTTTTTTTTTAATTTTACATTGCTAGTTGAATTATTTAAAATAAATTAGGAAGAGGGAGAGAGAGAGAGAGAGAGAGAGAGAGAGAGAACAAAGTTGAGAATTGGCTTTCGGGGTTTGATTGATTGCAACGAATTCCATGAAAAAATATCACATTCGAGGAAAACGAATTCCATTTTAACCGTTTTAAATGCAACGTAGAAATAGAAACCGAATTTCAAGATACAACCACTACAACTTGCATTTTCTTTATTTTTATGGAAAGCGAATTCTTATCGATTTGATGGATTTTTATTTTTCAACTAACATGAAATTAGAATTCATTTCCACATTTGCTTATCAAACATACTCTAAAAGTGAAGAGAATAAAACAAATTATATGAAAAGAAAAAGGGAAAATGTCAAGTAGCTAGAGCAATTAATGTTCCTAATAATGCAAAAGTAAAATGGATTACTTAAGTAAAAATTATCATCTTAATCAAACCAACAAACAAGACAATGACATCCATCGTGGTAGAAAGAACCAGACAGAGCACAACTCAACAGTATATATTTTAACATAATTAAAAAAAAAAAAAGATAAATCCTAAATGGTCAAAATTGAAAAAGGAAAAGGGATTTTATAGGCAAAACGCAACAACAATTTTCTCAAATATTTGTCAACAATGAAAATTACCGGAAATCATATGAAAATCTCCAAAAAACCCACAATCTTTGACCAACCACTGGTGATTGTAGTCGTCCCACCCCACATCCTCCGCGAAGACGAAATCCGCCACCCGATGCGCCACCACAGAGTCCTCGTAACTCGACTCCAAACTCGGCAACTCCACTATCTCGCTAAGCTCTTCTTGGGCTTGTTCCTCCCCACTTTCCTCCTCGGACTGTAACGACGTTACGGTCGAGACGAGTGACGTAGAGGAGGAAGATGACGCCATCGAAGGTAAAGGTGAAGTCACTACCTCCGGCACTTTGTCCATGTTAGCTGCCTTGGATGCAGCGGCCTGGACGTCGCGTGGAGAGCACGTGTCTGGCCGAGGCAGCAAGTGTGAGATTTCGGGGAAGTTTAAAATGGCGTTTTTGCCTTTGATGGCTAGAGCTGCTACATCGTGAGCTCGAGCCGCCATTTCCGGGTTGGCGAAGGTTCCGAGCCAGATCCGAGATTTCTTTCGGGGCTCCCGTATTTCAGAAACCCATTTTCCCCATGCCCTCATTCTCACTCCTCTGTAAACCGGATGCTTGCTACTATTATTATTACCAGTTTTGTTCCTCTTTTCGCCATTGATTATTTCTTCGTCTCTGCTTCGCTTCGTGCGTGAAGATTTTGAATGGCTACTTGACTCAGCCATTGTTAAACTCTTCAATCAAATGTTATTCATACAATCATACACATACAGAGAGAGAGAGAGAGGAGAAGGCTAGAAGAAGCATGTGAAGTGTTGAAGAAAGATATATTTATATGTGCATTTGCGTTCGTGTGTGTGTTTAGATTCAGAGATATATAAATATTATTTTCTTGATAAGAAGAGACAAAGCACGCACAGGGAGGGAGAAACAGTAGAAATACAGATCACTATGCAATAATTCAGTATGAAAATTCCACATCAACGGACAAATTCTGATTGTTTCACGTAAGAGTGTATGGCATTTTGTGATTGAATGAAAAATATTACTGCATTTTAAATAGTTCAATTACATAACGTCACGTGATATTATATCATTTATTATGTCGCTGTAACATGATTCCAATTGGTCGGTATTGGATTTGCTCCCTAATGATCACTAGTTCGAGTCCCTTCAAGGCCACTGAGATGAGTATTCGGCTATCTATCAAAATCTACTAAAAATATGATTTTTATTAATTTTCAATTAACATCGACATTTATCAAAAAAATCTACTAAATTTTTTATCGAAAACTTTATCAAATAACCTCTAAACAATTAGAGCAAAATGTTTTGACTGTTAAACTATGTACCATATAACTAATATATATGACCACGACCGAATGGAGACAAACAATGGGCAAAGCAAAAGGTATTTGAATGAGTATTTACCAAAATATGCATGGATTAGTAGGCTGTCTATCCACCATATTTTAGGCATGAAAGACGGTAATATGAAGTGGCGTCAATGTAGAAGTCTTTCACGTTGAATATTTTTATTAGAAAATTTTGGATTTTTAACTAACTGATCAAATTGAATGAAAATCATATTTACTGATTATTTTAAAATAAAGTAAAGTTCGATAATTAATATAAATTTTGTATTTTACGCTTATACCTAGATACTAAGTGTCTGTTTGAGCCCTATTTTTATTTTAAGAATGTATTTTGGAATAACAGATTGATAGATAATATGTGATTAAAAGAAATATTTTTTTTTGTGTTCATGTGTAATATTATTTTATTGAAAAATTGTGGTTGAAAAAAATGAAAAAAAATATATTTTGGGAATAATGAGATTCAAACGAAGGCTAAATAAAAACACGTATTATCTATCAAGTGTGTACGTCGTACAATTTCGTCCAATACATGTGTCTATATTGAAAAGAAGAAGAAGAAAAAAGCGAGGTGCCCGTTTGGCCCTTGTCCCCATTTTAACGAGAGGAATAATAATTTTTTAGAGAATACGTAATTAAAAAAAATAAAAGTTTTTTAGTTTACGTATACTATTATTGAAAAATGTGTAATTGATAAGAATTGAAAAAAAAATGAATTATAATTAATGGTGGCTAAACGGACTGAGTGCAATAAATAGATTCACAAGCATTAATACACATTCGTGCATACCACTTTTCAATTGGATGATTAAACACGATACGAAAAGGCAGAACATAGTGAATTATCTTTTCGATCTCACATTATTCTTAATTACTTTTGTGTAGCACGTACAAGGTCGGCTCTGAGATGTTGGGTGTCCTGTACAACAGTTTAAAATGATGTCCCTTTCATGCAATTAAAAAAATTTATTGACACCAATTAAAAAAAAAAACTTAAAATGATACCCCTTTCATGTAACAAAAACTTACCTTTTAGAACCAAAAAATTACAAAATAATTATTTTAACAAAAACTTACCTTAAAATGTTTGCGTGTAATATTATTTTATTGAAAAATTTGTGGTTGAAAAATAAAAAATAATATATATTTTGAGAGGGTTAAATATAAACACGTATTATCTATCAAGTGTGTGTACGTCGTACAATTTCGTCCCATATATATGTCTACATTGAGAAGAAAAAAGAACGAATTGCCTGTTTGGCCCCCATTATTTTACGTTATAATGAGATGAATAGTAATTTTTTTGTAGAATTAAGTAACAATACTCTTGTTGAGTAATGTTATGTAGTCCATTGAGGTCACAATATGTGAATTGAATTTTTGACCCCATTACATGCCTTCCTAGAAATATCATGTTCTATTCTGCAAATCTGAAAATCTTTAATTACCTTTTGCCATATAGAGATGAGTAAATAAATTAAAGAAATTACTTACAAATTTCAAGGTATGCATTTAATGAGGTCAATAGATTAAAGTAGGGACAACAATAACAAATATTTATCAAAAATGTTTTTTAAAGGAAAAATATTTTAAAAAATGCCCTTTAAAACAATTCACCATTTTTCATGCAAATTATCCACTAAAGCCCAATAAAACAAAATTTTTACCATTTGCACAATTAAATGAATGAAATTTCTAAGTTACAAATGAAGAAACATGTTTCGCGATAGAGAAATTTGAAGAAGATTAATTTTCATATTCTTGTCTTAAAGTTAAATATTCTCGTTTGAAGGATCGAGACTGTACCTAATAAGTATGTATTTCCCGTCAATTGTTAAAATTTATTTGTACGCTTAAAACGTGCGTACTTCAATAATGTCTCATGAACCAATTGACATCAAGCATAAGGAGAGTTCTTCTCAAAATATTTATTGATTCCTTACATTTGCTAGCAACACAATTTCCATTTGATTGTACCAACCAACCATAGAATTAAATTCACCTGCCTTGTCAATTTATTCCAGAACCTTATATTAAAAATAAATTAATAAATAATTATTTCACAACTATTTATTTCACATACTCAGTTTCAACCACACATTCATACAATAAAATATTTTGTACGTAAACCAAAAGTTTTTTTTTTCCTTCTTTTTAAACGCATTAAAAAAAAAAAACTATTCAAACATCATTTCCCCTAATTTCTCTTTATAATGGCCATCTAACATGGGCTAAGTCCCCGTTTGGTGTAGCTACAAATCGTATTTTTAGTATATTTTAATAAAAGTCGATAACATCTGTAGTTAAAAATTTGATAAAACTGTGGATCCCATAAAATATGTGACTATAATTAATTTTTGATTTCGACTTTAATTTTTATCAACTTTTAATCCACACCAAACATGGGCCTAAGCAAAAATATCATTCGTATATGTCACCACGAGCAGCACTCTCAACTAAAAATTAAGTATACAAAATCAAATACGCATTCAAGAAAAGTTGCATGATGTGGTAGAATTAGTAGCTCGAAAATAAGTTTTTTGGAACTCTAATTATCTGATATATTCGAAAAAAAAAAAAAATTTATTGAAAGAAATTGGCAGCTCAAAATGTGATTTTTCCAAACCCAATTTTCCAATTCTTACTCATTCGGAGAATTTATTACTCTAGTTTAGACATGGTTTATATAGGTGTAATTAATTATTGTTTGCAGTTTTTGTGTTGCAAATATTAAATGAAAAAGCTGACGCACCTACAGAAAGTGATAAATAATTATAGTACTCAATATTGGAAAATTGAAAATAATAGGCCGGCAACAAGATATTTCAGAGCATTCACATTGGGGTGGCATTTATGATAATCATGTGATTATTCGATGAAACTAGTTACTCAAAGTTATTGGATTAAAGGTTTACTCTCCAAGTCTGCGAGAGCTATGTTCACTTACTGATACTGAATTTATCTTAAAAAAGATCATAGCTAGNCAAAAAAGTTGAGAGAAATTTAACAATCTAAAATTTACGTAAAAAAAAATAAAAAAATCATAACCCATGTAATTTTGCATCCGAAAATTTACATGGGATATAACTTTTTTGGATGTAAAATTTCGAAAATTTTTGATGTTATATTTCATATAAAATTTCCTAATAAAATGATGAAATTGAGAAATTTGTATCGCAAAAATAATAAATGTTAAAGAAATAATTGAATTTTTTTTTTAAAAATGTGATTTAGACGTCTTTCTTTAAGATGCACGTTGAACGTGTTTTTAACTATTTTCGATATGCCTATAATGTAGTTCTCAAAATAAGTTTTGAGATGATATAAGGAATTTGTAGATTTGATTAGCGTACGATCGTCGGAGAAATTTTAAAATTAGCATGTTATCGAAATTCAAATTTATTGTGATTTTACCTCTGTTTGGTGGAGATTAAAATCTAAAATTTGAGTAAATTTTGATAAAAATTAAACAGTTATGAATTCCATGAAATATGTTATTAAAATTAATTGTTAAATTTTGATTTAGATTTAAATCTCAAAAGTTGGGGGGCACGTGTCCCCCAGGACCCCCCGGGTCCGCCAGTGGTAATAACCTATAAAGAAAAAAGTTTTTTTATATCATTTCTTGAAGTGTTACTTTTGGCTCAACAAGATCTTCTATGTACATACAATTTACTATAAATAATGTGTACCAAACGTGTCGGGAATTCACTTCTCTTGTTACCTCTTGCTTCTGCAACCCATTATTGTATAGATATTCTTGCAAACGCTTGCTATTTCACATTCAATACAGTATATGTACATGTCATGGACATGGACCGACCTATCCTTCAAACCCTCTTCACCTTAAATTATAATTGAGAACAAATAAATGAGAGAGAGAGAGCGCGCAAACTGGCCTACAATTCTAAATGAAGTTTGGACTTTAGCAGAGAGGTGTTAAAGTGGGCTTCACAATTGATTTAATGGGCCCATTTAGAGTATATGCTGCTTGGCCCATAAAAACAAAACATTTATGAGCTGTTACTTCACCATTTTGGTTCACAGAAATTGATTCGCGTGGTCTTCACAAATTTGATACACATGTTCACCATCACATTAGATTTGAACTTGTCCCATAATATCTCATTGTATCACACACCTATAAAATGAGGCCTTTAAGATCATTACTTGGTACATCGCCAGTCCAACAGATTTTGACATGGCCCTTGCCGGGCCCTCGAAATGCTGGCCTTTCGGACAATTCGAGGTAACCAATTGTGGGGTGGGGAAAACCAGTCAGATTCGAGATAGAAACCCTTAAACCAATCAAAACAATGGAGAAAACCTGACGTCAATGTCACAACTTA